GCAAGACCTCATCTCTACAAAAAATTTAAGAAGCTATCCAGGCATGGTGGTGTGCACATGTGGTCTCAGCCATGCTGGAGGATGAGGTGGTAGGATCTCCTGAGCCCAGGAATGTGAGGTTGCAGTGAACTGTAATCACACCACTGCACTTCAGCCTGGGTGACAGAGCAAGACCCTGTTGCTAAACAAAAAGAGACAAAAAAAGATACTTCTCCATATACACTAAAAAACATACTAATTTTCCATCCACTTTATTAAAAAAACTTTAAATAACAAGTTATATTTTTTCCTAAGTTTACTTGTATGTTGATTATATATATTATGAAGTTTGAAAAAATAAGTCATTCACTGTACTCTATACAGCTAATATTGTTATGAATTTCCTTTGAATCTTACTAGAAGTACATATTCTTAAGCAAAACTAAAATGGTATGCATATATATGAATATTGTGTCCCTTTTTTCAGATCCAACATCATAAATAAAAGTATTTTACAAATCCCTATATGAGCTAAATCATAACTTTAAAAAATTCATATAAACAAGTAGTACAACAGACATGCTATTCCTTTGAAAACTAGAGAATAGGATGTTAAAGTGATAGCATCCTAACTTTGTTTATTTGGAATCCATCCAAGCCGATGAAGGAATGACATTAGGCAAGATAGGGACTGAGGCAGTAGCTTTACGTTCCCGTAATTAAGTTGACATCACATAGAGGTTGCTTAGGAGAGAGGATTTCTACCTAAAGAAACAGGCCTTAAGAAGTCCAGAGTTTTAACAACTGAAAGGTTTTTCTCAATTCTCCCTAGACGTTGAGAATCTGAGATTTCTACAACTTTACTCAAAATTTTCATTCTTTCTCCCATGCTTTAGGGTTTAGATAGGTCAGGTGGGACTCTGAAAAAAAAAAAAAAATTAAGGATCCATTACTGATTCATCTTTGTGAATCCTCATTCTACCTACACTGGATCCTGCTCATAGTAGTAATAACAACTGTTAATATGTATATAGTACCCTCTATGTGTTAGACAGTGTCCTCCAAGCACTTAATATCCATTCATTTAATCTTCACAACTACCTTCATTGCAAGGTAGGTACTGTTACCATCATATATGAATGAGGGAAGGGAAGAATTCACGTCCCCAAAGTTGCAGAACTGGGATTCAAATCCAAACAATTTAAATAATGAAGCGAGCAACAGGTGGCAGGTTAGGCCTTACTAGAAGGCGTAAGTCAAAAGCTACCATAAATGAAACAGTTATTGTTAAATGTGTACCCAAGAAAATTTCTGCCCAAAGGAATTAAATTCCTTTGGAATCAATGTGTTTAGTATGTTACATGGGTCCTTTTCTTATTAGACAATGTAAAAATAAGCTGCCTGACACATCCTGTGATGGGAAGTGATTCCTGAAATAAGGATTTATTTTGATGTGAATTCTTACTTTTCTCAAATACTTCATCAGAAATTCTATTGTTCATAAAATTTTTATCAGATGAAAACTTTAATTCATTCACTCATTTTTTACTTTCCTCTTTAGTTTACCAAACGAGAACCAGAAGATACGAAAAGTGCAGATTCTGACCGAGATGTTTTTAATGAGAAACCGTCTAAAGAAGAAGTCATGGCAGCTACTCAGGCTGAAGGACCTAAACGAGTTTCAGATAGTGCCATTATCCACACCAGCATGGGAGACATTCACATCAAACTTTTTCCTGTTGAGTATGTACAACAACTATTTTTATTGGCTTATGTAATTAAGAATGTAAATGTGTATGTGTGAAGAAACCATGCAACTTAAAATTCCCATTGCTTTGATTTAAGGGATTTTGAAGAAATGTTTGATAAAAAACATCTATTCCTAAGCTTTCTGATAACTGTTATGGTAGAAAATGGGAAATTATTATGCATATATACTTCATAGGTTCATTACAAGAACAATATATTGGCTATGAAAGTGCTGAGTATAAACTGTAAAGTGATACACAAATGTGTATCATTATTACTGTTAACAGCAGATCTCTAGGTTTTGTGGATTGCTTTGCTTTCCTCAAAGCAAATCCTTAAGAGAAAGATGATTATGTTTTCTTACCAACCGTTGCTAGATACCTACTATCTCTTTATAGTTTTAGTAGCTGTATGTTTTAAAAGTGAACTACAAGCTGGGTTCAGTGGCACGCAATTGTAATCCCAGCTATTCAGAAGGCTGAGACAGGCAGATCAGTGGATGCCAGGAGCTTGAGCCTAGCCCGAGCAACACAGCAAGACCCCCCATCTCTTAAAAAAAATTTTTTTTAAAAATAGCTGGGCATGGTGGCATGCACCTGTATTCCCAGCTACACTAGAGGCTGAGGTCAAAGATCTCTTGAGCCAGGAGTTTGAGGCTGCAGTTAGCTATGATCACACCACTGCATTCCAACCTGGACAACACAGTGAGACCCTGTTTCTGCAAAAACAATTATAGCAAAACCATAAGGGCTTCAATTGAAAAAAAGCTGAATAGTTTTCTAGACTCTTTAAGAGATTATAAAATTAACATACAATGTCAAATACAATAGAATATTTCTGGCCATTCTTGACCCAGAAAATGACATCTTTTATACTTTTACTTTAAAGTTCTTAATATTTTGAATATGAATGTTTTGTACCATATCTTGGTACTCAACAAATAACTAGGCAGTTCTAGACTCCTGGACACTCTTATTTGAAGTGCTCAAAACCCATGTACTCTTTGGCCATGTGCTTGGTACAAGAGTCTCTTGATTCTTCCATTCCTAGCTCCATACTTAGTATTACATGGTAATGGACCATGTGAAATAATTGCATAATGTTAATATTATGGAGAGATTTTCATACTCTGAGTGTGATTATTATTTAAAGTTGAATAAATTTAGATGTCATTTCTGTGATTAAGTTTTTGGCCAGGAATATGTCGCTATAGCATAACATTGCCTTTTTTTTTTAAAGATGGAGTTTCACTCTTGTTGCCCAGGCTGGAGTCCAATGGCGTGATGTGGGCTCACTGCAACCTCCGCCTCCTGGGTTCAAGCAATTCTCCCACCTCAGCCTCTCCAATAGCTGGGATTACAGGGGTGCACCACCACGCCTGGCTAATTTTGTATTTTTAGTAGAGATGGGGTTTCTCCATGTTGGTCAGTCTGGTCTCAAACTCCTGACCTCAGGTGATTCACCTGCCTCGGCTTCCCTAAGTGCTGGGATTACAGGCGGAGCCACTGCACCTGGCCAACATTGCTTTTATAAGAAAATGACCTTTCCCAGGAACTTAACCTATAATACGGTATGCAGACCTATAATACTATATGCAGTGAACTAACTTAAGATATTGGGCTGGGTGCAGTAGGTCATGCCTGTAATCCCAGCACTTTAGGAGGCTGAGGTGGGAGGATCTCTTGAGCACAGGAGGTCAAGATCAGCCTAGGCAATATAGTAAGACCCTGTCTCTTAAGAAGAAAAAAGCATTTTTTAAGGTGCTATGGCTATTTTTTTAACTGCCAAATGACCTTGAAATCTTATTACTGTAAAACTCAAATATAGTTAAGCAGTCATGTTCTAAAGATAACCAAGTTAAATAAGAACATACTACTTACATGCCCCTTCATGCTTGTCCTGAGATTAGAGGTTATGGAAAAAAAGACTGTCCTTCTGAAACATTCAGAAGACATTGAAACATCATTAGGAAGCAGAACTGCAAAGAAAACTTTTAAGATGCTCTGAATAGTTTCATATTTGTAATATATGTCTTAATAGGTGCCCTAAGACAGTGGAAAACTTCTGTGTTCACAGCAGAAATGGTTATTATAATGGGCATACGTTTCACCGTATAATTAAGGTAAGTCACACAAATTTCATGTGATTTAAGGAGTATTATTACATAGCAAGAGATTTAAGCCCAAGGAATCTTCTTCTCTCACACTTACCAATTTAGTGGAAAGGAACAGGAAAAATATACTATGGAAGCCAAAGAAAGACTGGATGGTCATGAATGTCAGCATCTAGAATCAACAGAAATAGTGGCATGACTACCTGTTTAGAAACACTGAAGCAATATTTTGTCAACAGCTAAAGTAAAGGGTAAGATAATGAATAAAGGGTCATATTGAGATAACATTATTAACCTAGGTAACCTATTTGTAGAGGCTAGACAGGGTTTAGATCTAGAAGATAGGATTGTTCAATCATAGAAGAGCCACAATGCTATCTGATCTGTGAGAACCAGTAATATACCAGAGGAGGAGAGAGAACTCAGCCCCTGAATTTTGTTGAGCAGCTCTCCATAAAGTGTATGGGGCAGAAATACAGTTCTTGGTTACTGGCAGGTCAGAAATGGCAGGACAAAAAGTCAGGTCTCGGGGTGCTAAAGGAATTAGCAAAAAGGCTTTCCAGGAAATCTAGAGTATTTGGGGAAAGGGAGAGGGAGGAGGGCAATTATATAAAACATAAAATATCATACGGATCCTGAAATTTATAATATTAATTGGATTTTGGTTATTGGGAAAGATAGAACATGTCTATAAATGAGAAGATGACCTTTGTATTTATGTTTCAATCAAGGTGGTGGTTGAGCAATGGAAATACATCATTCAAATTTAAGTGTAAACGTTTAATCAAATCACTATAAAGACTATTAATATTACACTCAATACAAAAAGGACTCTTGGCAGAAATAAAACTTCAAAGCGTACATATATAGAAAAGGACAGTGTAATGTTTTTGTGTACTTTCCGTTAAGGGCTTCATGATTCAGACAGGAGATCCAACAGGTACTGGTATGGGAGGAGAAAGCATATGGGGAGGAGAATTTGAAGATGAATTTCATTCAACATTACGACACGACAGACCGTACACACTCAGCATGGCTAATGCAGGATCAAATACTAATGGATCCCAGTTTTTCATAACTGTAGTACCAACGGTAAGTGCAACAACATTGTTACAAAGCACGGATTGATAGGTTATGATGTAAGAGAGTGAACTCAGTGTAAGAAAGAGCTGCATTATTCTGTATTTTCTGCATTATTTATATCATCGGCCAGAATACAAAAACGAAAATGATCTAGAGAATAAAATATAAAACTATGTGACAAATCAGTTTAGAATTGGTAAAATAATACTTCCATTATAGCAAGAAGTACAATGGAGTGTGATTCAAAATACTTGAGTTTCAATCTCAACTCTGCCTCTACTGATTATTACACCTCTCTGGGCCCATTTCCTCATCTTTAGAATATAGGGATTAGAGTATATGAATTCACAATTTAATACAGTTTCCCCCACATTTTATTAGGTCTGAAATCAGAATACAACTCATAATCAATGGCATTTTGGATTTGATGAAATATAGTGTAAGGTCCTCTAGCTCTATTGCCATACAATAATACAAAATTATAAAAGTTACCTACTTTTTGTTTTGGAATTAAGCACTAAGCGATGAATAAAGGAAAAATATATATAACTACCATATGCCAGGAACATAGTCTCATTGACAGTACTTCCAGTATCAGTATCCCCAGTTTTCAGTAATAGATGAGGAAACATCGAGACATGATTAACTTACCAAAAGGTCAAGTAAGTAGCCAAGCTAGCATTTGAACGCCCATCTGTCTCATACCAAAGCATGTGCTGCTTAAACTATTTCAAACTGCCTCTGAATAAATTTTTCAGGAAGAGTCCTGCAGAGACCTTTTAAAGACTTAGCCACAATTGTTTAAGCCATGTGAAGATCTTTAGGAAAGATCTTCCAGTTCCCTTTGGTCTGAAAGATGTAGATATTTAATTAAACATTATACTATTTTTTAACAAACTGGAAATGACTTTTAAAAGCTGCAACATTTTTATTGTTAAGAAATTATTTTACTTCTTTTTAAATAAATATCAAAGGGAAGGGTAAACTTAAATTCTCTTTAATTTGCTCAACCGGAGGGTATAATTTATTGGGATTTACCAACATTTTCCATTTGTCGTCCAACACAGCCTTGGCTTGATAATAAGCACACAGTATTTGGACGAGTGACTAAAGGAATGGAAGTTGTGCAGAGGATCTCCAATGTCAAAGTCAATCCCAAAACAGATAAGCCCTATGAGGATGTCAGCATCATAAATATTACTGTGAAGTAAAATAAGATTTGCTTTAATGTACTTGCAGATAAAAATGCAATATTAAACAATTATTTTATGACTTGCTGAATATGCAGATCATGTTTCAAAGATACAATATTTTTGTATTTTTCATTAAAAGCTATTTTTTAAAAATTACCTTTGATTTTTCTTGCAATATTTCTAATCCTGGGAGGTAACAAATTGAAATAGACTAAATTCAGGGAAACACTCATTACAGGTAATTTGTAATGAGCCTCAAATTAAGTATTAAATAATTACAGTAATCTCCCCCACCCCCCTTTCCCATGGTTTTCTTTCTACTGTCAACCACAATCCAAAACTAGGTGAGTACAATGCAGTATTTTCAGACAGCAAGATCACATTCACATGACTTTAATTACAGAATACTGCTATAGTTGTTCTATTTTATTGTTGTTAATCTCTTACTATGTCTTAAGTTATAAATTAAACTTTAGCATAGATATGTATGTATAAAAAAACATGATATATTGGGGTTCAGTAAGCCTCAATAAACAAGAAGTCACTTTGGTCAAAGTCTTACATTCCTTAATATTTATGAAATATTCTTTAAAATAAAGTATCCGAATAAGTGGATATCTGAATCCTTGGTTTTATATGCAGGCTCATTTACTGTTTCAGATTATTTTTCTAACATAGGTAAACAATTGTTTCTGTCCTCAAGTAATAGTATGTCTTTAGTAAATACACCATTAAGAAATATACATAAAAATTTTGGTATCTAATAATAGAGATTAGTAGAAATTGGAGCAGTAAAACAATATGAGTGCAAATTCTTATACTGATTTTTTCACTGACCCTTATAACTTACTTCATAACTATTAAGACCCACTGTGGCTGGGCGTGGTGGTTGACATCTGTAATCCCAGCACATTGGGAGGCTGAGGCAGGCACATCACAAGGTCAAGAGATATGAGACCATCCTGGCCAACATGGTGAAACCCTGTCTCTACTAAAAATACAAAAATTAGTTGGGCATGGTGGCAAATGCCTGTAGCCCCAGCATTTGGGAGGCTGAGGCAGGAGAATCGCTTGAACCTGAAAGGCAGAGGTTGCAGTGAGCCAAGATCATGCCAGTGCACTCCAGCCTGGCAACAGCAAGACTCCGTCTCAAAAAAACAAAAAAGACCCACTGCTTCATTTCCAGAAAGATTCTTTCAGAAACTTATAGGAAGAATATGCTGAAAAACCTGTTTAGGGAATTTATATTCTTAAGTTTAAAATCTGCTTACACTTTTCCTTCTATTGATCAGCAGGATTCTTTGCTACAAACTTGTGAGATAGGAGATTATGCTAGATTGTGCTGCTGTAATGTATGCTCTTTTTTAAAAGTAGAACTTAAAGTTGGACAGGAAAATGACTTTTCAATTTATTGTTTCTAATTTTAGTTGTTTAGACTTACCTACCTGCCTTTATTCATTCCTAAAAACAATCTAAATTTTTGGTAATATTGCCACCAAGTTGTGATGATGCCTCATTCCCCAACAAATACAATTATTTTGCTTTGAGTGAAACCATATTTGACTAATGAATTTTTCCATTAATGTCAAAAACTTAACCTGATTGGCAGACCTAAAAACATACATTGTCCATGTCTTTTTAAAAGCATGTTTTGGTCAGCCGTGGTTGCTCATGCCTGTAATCCCAACACTTTGTGAGGCCAAGGCAGGGGGATCATGAGGTCAGGAGTTCCAGACCATGCTGGCCAAGATGGTGAGACCCCCCCATCCTACTAAAACTACAGAACTTAGCTGGGTATTGTGGCGGGTACCTGTAAACCCAAGCTACTCAGGAGGCTTAGGCAGAGAATTGCTTGAACCTGAGAAGCAGAGGTTGCAGTGAGCTGAGATCACACCACTGCGCTCCAGCTTGAGTGAGACTCTACCGCTGCACTCCAGAGCGAGACTCTGTCTCAAAAAAAATAAATAATAAAAATCAGGATACAATTTCATCTTATTCACTAATCCTTTTCATTCTTTATTCTTTTAGGGAAGAATACAGCTGTCTTCTTCCCTGTTACCACTTTGCCAATTTAGAAGTATCCCAATGTTACATAAAAAGTCCTTCTCTTAGCAATATTAGTTCATGAGCTACAGCTAAGTTTTACAAGCCATTTTCTACAATGGTCATTTAAAATGCTATCTTTTCTTATGAAAGAAGTTTACATTTAAAATTTAAATGGCAATAACAGTTTCACTTTGTTCAATGCAAAACTGTAGCTCTAATCCACTTCAAAACACTATGGTTATATTATTTAAATGTGGCCTACACATCACTGCTCAGCCTTTTGGCTAATATCAGGTAAAGTTAAGACCAAGTATAGTACCTGTTCTCATCAGTAAATGTGGCCTATGTTGCTAATTCAAAATGTTATTTCTAAAATTTTGCTTTATCAAATGAACTACATCTCAAATTTGACGGGCATGTCAATCTCTACCTATTTTGTTTTATTTTCTCTCTTAACTACAGCACAAATAATGACTTTTTAAATTGGTTACTACTGGCAATAATACTAGATAGATGGTTCAAGAAAGACTTTTAAGAATAATGATGGGACTTCTTTAAAATGATCTTAAGAAGATTTTTAAGAATAATGATGGGACTTCTTTAAAATGATCTTTATTGCTGTCTCTACTGATCATATATGTAGTGCAGATAATGGCTTCTGATGGTTATAAAGCATTCCTGAATTATATACCAGGGCTATACACTTGATATACCTGCTTTATATAATCATACAGTAATATTTAGACTTAACACAGAAATTCAGAGATACTAGAAAAATTCAAATACACTATGTTTAAAATAGCTGTCTTAGTTTCCCAGGGGAGACTAGCACAATCTTAACCAATGATTAGTGAAAGAATACAACCACAAATAGTAATGGGAGCTTGAGAAAAGTATTTCTTTAAAAAAGAATCACATCTACCATTATATATATACATTATAATCAGGTGTAAGCACAATTTTTAAGTTGTGTTCAGTTATATGCTAAGAATGTACATTACAAAGTTTAGCAAAATTGATGAAATAACAAGGGAAGCAAGTTCATCTTAGTGTTACACATTTTTTCTTCAATTAACTAGTAGAGAAAACAGCTCAAGTTCTCACAAGCAATGCAACACGTTTTTTATTTTTCAGTTATTGAAATCAGTCAAATATTAAATAATTTAATTCAGAAGTATTATTTATGCACACAAACTATACTTGTAACAGCATGACCATTTACCTGAAAAATAAAGGATGAAATATTATATTTACTTATTTACATATTGCCCATATCACGGACAGGCTTTTTCGTAATGCTTTGTTTTCTAAAAGTTTTAATGTTTTTAAACAAATAAAAATGGATTTTAAAAGACTGAACCAAAAGAGTACCTAAAAGTCATACCTTGTTATGAGACATCACTGACCTTATAACAATTAAACTGATAAGATTTAACTTCTTCCTAAAGTATCAGAACATTTTTTAAAAAAGCCAAAGTCTCAATGTACCTATTTAAATAAATCATGCTTCCATAATAAGAGAGTATCCTTTAAAAATGAAAAACCATAAAGACCACAAATTTTTATTTACTCACAACACTGAATAATTAATGTAAACTTTTGGAATATTTTTCCTTTAGACATTTTTCCTCTTAAGTGGACTTTTCAAGGCCTTGTCATGAAGAGCCTTAAGTTTTACTGTCAAAATAAATGCACTTATTTTGGGAGATAGTTTGAAGTAATAAGCATTCCCCACTGTACAAACAACTCTTAAGGAAGAGTTCGTTTTCTATTTAGGTCACTAGCTTTTACATAAATAAAGCCGCCCCCGTTTCTGTGTAACTTACTACATTTTACCTATAGTCATTCCCACAAAGGATACAATATTATATTAGAGATACTACTTTAAGTATATTGAAAAATAGAAGGACCAATTTAGAGTTCTGACCTAGGAAACTGTATGTAAGCCTAGCATCAGTCCTGGAAATGGGTCTTTCATAAATGAAGATCCAACTACTTGCACAGTTTTATTACTGTTCTTCAGTTTATTACTAATCTGACAAGCCTAATTAGGTAATATTTCATTCTGTCTCACTGTTTTATACAAAATGCTTTAGGAAAAAGTTTTAATAAAACACTATATAAAGTATTAATTTTATATACCTTATAGTTCTTAGCATTAAAGGTGTTCTGTTAACTTTGAACATAAATGTAAAGTAATCCTATTATCCAAAGATGTAGTTTGGATTCTATTTCATTAAGCAACTGCCATTTCTACTAGTAAATACTGCCAACCTTCAGTGAAAAGGCAGATTAAAGAAGAAGCTATACTTAACTTGCTTCACGCAGAGGTCTCATTAGGCACTCAATTGGCTATTCTTTTTTCACTGAAAGAATAAACCTTCACTACCCTTTCTCTGTGACTACCTCTTTCCCAGTATATTGGTTACATATAATCTGAAAAACTTAAATAACAAATATACTTTTAAAAAGAATGTATGTTCAACAAATTTCTATTTAATTCAATCTAATCCACTCAATTAGAAATTTAATTTGCCACAATGTTCTAAAGCAATAATGTACTGAATTCCCAATCCAAGATTCCTTTATATATATATACACATATATACATCCTAAATTATCATCTTTCAAGATGTGTAATTTCTTACAACATATTATGTGCAAAGTTACTCTTAACCACAAAACTTCAAACAACTGCTGCATTTAAAATCAAGCAACATCCAATACTCCAGCAGCCACAAGTTGCCGTGAGAGCCAGTCCAACCCTTCATACAGTCCCATACCACTTCGAGCATCACAGCCCTGAATATACCAGCTACGGCCACAGCATAATTTATGAAGACTGAGTAGTTCAGTGATTTCTTCTACTGACAGTGCTCCAGCAACATCCTGAAAGATATATACACATATTTTTGATCAGTCCATCCAAATTACCATTTTTCTAATCATTATTTATAGAGAAATTTGTTGACAGCATTCTAACAGAAGCCTAAACAAAAAACCTAGACTCTTTCAGTAATTATTCTGAGATTAACAAGAACAGGAAAAAAAAAAAGTTTGGTTAAACTAATTTATATGTATGTGTAGGTATACAGTTTGTAAGGGTAACCTAACAATGAAATCAATAAAGGCCTTGCAGCCTAAATGGAAACATATTGCCTAAGTAATTTTTTTTTTATTTTTTGAGATGGAGTCCTGCTCTGTCACCCAAGCTGGAGTGCAGTGGCACGATGTTGGCTCACTGCAACCTCTACCTCCTGGTTCAAGCAATTCTTCTGCCTTGACCTCCCAGGTAGCTGGGATTACAGTCATGCGCCATCATGCCCAGCTAATGTTTTTGTATTTTTAGTAGAAGCAGGGTTTTATCATGTTAGCCAGGCTGGTCTCGAACTCCGACCTCAAGTGATCTGCCCATCTTGGCCTCCCAAAGTGCAGGGATTACTAAGGGTGCGAGCCACTGCACCCGGCCTAAGTAATTATAAGGCATCAACTTAAAAAAAAAATTAACACACGAAAACCTTAATAAATAGTTTATAAATAGGGTTATATATTGAAGAGTTCACTACATTTCCCGCTCTGAACACCCATTGTCCCAGGAGCAACCACCAGTAACAATGTATTTTTCCAGAAAATTTCCATGCATGTTCATGCAAATAAACACAAAGAGGAACATAGTTTAGACTTTCTATAACTTGCAGGGTTGGTTTTTTGTTTTTTACATAAACATGTTGAAGATATTCTTCCATTATCAGCACAGATTATCTGCATTATTTTTAATATCAGAATTCCCTTCCATTGTGAGGATACAACAATTTAACCAGTCCTATACTGAATGTTCAGATTTAAGTTTTGTGCTTATATATTACAAATCCATATATATACACACACATATAATACATAAACATACATATACAACAAGAGTTGACATACACGTATGTATATCTGCAAAATTATCTGCAGGATAACCTTTGGATATTTGTCTACCAGATACAGAGAAGTAGAATGGCAGGGTAAAGGACTTTGATGAGTATTGCCCAATTGTCCTCCAAGAAAATGTCTCAGTTTAATAACCCACCAAGAGTGGGGTATACTTATTTAAGAAATCATACAATAATTAGAATATATTTATTTTTACTATATCAGATTCAAATCCCATCTTATTGAAGGAGTAAAATGTATCATATTCAAAGTGTATGGAATTTGGCCCAGTGCAGTGGCTCACACCTGTAATCCCAGCACTTTGGGAGGCTGAAGCGGGCAGATCACTTGAGGTCATGAGTTTGAGACTAGCCTGACCAACATGGTGAAACTCTGTCTTTACTAAAAATACAAAAATTAGCTGGGCATGGCGGCAAGCAGCTGCAATCCCAGCCACTTAGGAGGCTGAGGCAAGACAGTTGCTTGAACCTAGGACAGGGAGGTTCAAGCAGTGAGCAGAGTGCCACCGCACTCCAGCCTAGGAGACAAAGCAAGACTCAGTCTCAAAAATAATAATGGTGTATGTAAGTCTGAAGATTACAAAACACTTTAATCTTTATCTGATGAGCAGAAAATGGTGTTTTCACACAGGCTGCCTAGTATGGCAGGGGCACCTACAGATAATGAACAGTACAATTTCAAGTAGTTTACATAACTGCTCAGGTTTAGTTTCCCCATCTATGACAGGATGTACAACACTTGCTCTATCAAATGCAAACTGGTCTGTATATCAAGGAACATTCACTGACTTATTTGAATGTCTTAAATATACCAGTTGTTAACAGTTTGCCTTTTTTCATTAAGGGGAAAATTCTTTATTCTTCATCCTATTCTTCCCCTCCCATGACATCTCTCTACTTCACTTCTACTCTCCTTCTACTACCTCTACTTAAAGGCATCTCATCCTCCTAGAAAGGCTCAAGGTCAAGGAATCTTCAGCTACTCTCAGTCCTACATCCCGGCCATTCAGTCACCAATTCTACCTCAAAGTCATTTCCATCTGCCTCCACTTTTCTATTTCTCTAATTCGGAGTCTTGTTAATGCTCACTTGAATTATTTAAGCAATTTACTGCATTTCTCTGTCTGTAGTCATTTGCCCTGATTCACTCTACCCCTAGAATTATAGTATCAAAACACCGATATGATCTTATTGCCCACTAGTCCAAAAACATTTTGATGTTTCCTCTTTGCTCATAGAATAAAACCTAAATTTCTCAGTCTAGCTCTGTCAGGGCTTTACAGCATGGTCTTGTCTGTTATTCTAGATTCTCTAGAATACCTGCACCTGACATACAGATATGCTTGATATTCCCTAGACTAAAAACATTCATGCTATTATCATCTCTGTAATGTTCATCCTTTCACATATTGACTCAGCCTCATCCATAATTTCAGCTCAAATCCTAAATTTTACAATCTTACAACATGCCACATTTAGAACTACTCTCCTAATTCCCTGTAACATTCTGTTATTGAAGTCACTTATCAGTTGCCTTTGTATTTGAATCTCACTTATGTGTTCATATGCATACCTGGGAGTTTCTGGTAAACATGAACTACCTTATTTCTATTTTGTATACTCCCAGGTACCCAACACAGCATTTTTCACATAGATGTACTCAAAATACACAGAGAAACTTTATAAATATCTGTGGAATTGATTTTCTGAAATATTTCCAGTTTTCTTATGACATGGAATGCACAAAACTACTAAAATAAGTATTCCAATATAAAAATGCATTACCTGTTTGTTAGCAAAAATCAGGAGCAGAGCATCTCGGAGTTCTTTTTCCGTTAACAACTTTGCAAGTTCACTGTGTGCTTCACTAATTCTGTCTCTATGGCTGCTATCTACAACAAACACAACAGCTACCCAAAAAAACAAAAATACTAATTAGTCACGTGCTAAAGTTCAGTAAATGGACCAAATATTTAATGATATCATTATTATATTATGGTTAGAGTTTGTCTACCATCATCATTTTCACACAGGCTGCCTAGTATGGCAGGGGCACCTACAAATAATGAACAGTATGATTTCAAGTAGTTCATATAACTTCTCAGGTTTAGTTTCCCCATCTATGATAGATTTACAACACTTGCTCTATCAAATGCAAACTGGTCTGTATATCAAGGAACATTTTTTACATAATGAATTTCAAAATATGCCTCATGATCTTCTACCTACTGATGCTACTTGTTCTTCAAATACTATTTTTGTAATATTTTATCTTCAAATAAAAGACTAAAAGATAAAAATGATCACCATTTTTCTCCCTGCAAAGTATTGTCTCTAAGTTAACTATCCCCATACTTTCAACCATTCTTCATATTCAAAATTCCATTTTTGCAGGGCACAGTGGCTGACACCTATAATCCCAGCATTTTGGGAGGCCAAAGTGGGAGGATCACTTGAGCTCAGGAGTTTGAGACCCTTGGGCAATATAGTGAGACCTTGTCTTTACAAAAAAAAAATTAAAAATTAGATGAATGTAGTTGCATATACCTGTAGTTCCAGCTACTTGGAAGGCAAAGGCGGGAGGCTTGCTTGAACCCAGGAGGCAGAGATAGCAGTGAGCTGCAATCGCAACACTGTACTCCTGCCTGGGCAACAAAGCAAGATTCTGTCTCAAAAAAACAAAAATTCTATTAATTATGGCTCATACTAAATATCAAAAATCCCAAAGTAAAAATAATTCAGTCTCTAATCTTGGTACAAAGCAGGATAACATACAGAATAGGACGCATGAGTCTAAGCTTTAGGTTGGGGTCTCTGAGGCAAAAGTGTAGAATAGAACTCAAATGTGACTAAAACCTATGTAGAGTATATGATATAATACCATTTGGTCAAAAGCAAGCCACTGTAAGTTCTTTTGCAGGTAACAACTATTTATGAGAGAAATGTGGGAGTGGGGCTATTGTGAGATTATAATGGGATAAATGCTGAGTTTAACTGAATTGAACAGCAGAATCATACACCATAAACTCAACTCTATACCACTACATTGCCAGCAATCACACCCATATAATACTGATAATATACATTCTCTGTTAAGAGAAGCGAGAATACTCTTAACTGCCTATGTTTCTAAGCTACATCTGGTTTATTTCTGTAATAATGGTTTATCAGGAATAAACTAAAAGTACATATGCTAATTTTTCTACTTTTGTTTTTTACAAGATAAGGAACTAGCCACTAACACTTAAGTGTATAGTCAAGGATTTAATCATAAATATCAGCTTTGCTAGTCAAATCAGTACACTGAAAACTGTCATCCTAAAAATGTGAAAAATTAAATGTCATTTTAAACTCTCACCTTGAGTATTGAGGTAATAATGTTTCCACAATGGTCTTAATTTATGTTTTCCACCTACATCCCAAATAGTGAATTTTAGATTTTTATATTCTACAGTTTCCACATTAAAACCTGTTTAAAAAAAAAAGTTAACTTTTATACTATATTTACATTTACAATGAATGACACATCAAACACAGACAATCCCCCAGTGTATAATTGTGATTTATCAATTATCTATATGCAGCAATATCTACTGAAGCCTAATCAACCCCATTCCTACTTCTACATGGAGAGTGAATACCTGTAACAGCTGCTAGCCCTCTAAACCTCCACCAAGGTCCTTAGGACCTTGGGATCCATGTATCTTCCAGCTCTGTTGCACTACTGCCCCCATCCCCACACCCTCAGCCAGGATCACCAATCTTCTATTCCTTCAAACTGTCCCACCAATACTGTTTCTTCTTTTTATCCCCAACCACATTTCATTCCCATAGCCACACAATCTTGCATTTTTTCTCTCAGATGCTGATGTCTTAGAGCCAGAAAAGAGCCCAGCACCATGACAGATTAGTAACAAATAAGACCACAAGAACTCGGCTGTAAGCTAGGGTTTGTCTATTAAATGCCCTTTAAGGTAAAAACCAGTATTAATACTTACCAATTGTTGGAATGGGCTGCATGAATTCATCCTGTTTTAACTTAAACAAGATAGTAGTTTTTCCAGCACCATCCAATCCTAATGTAACCACCCGAATTTCCATTTTTGGTCCAATGTGAACTCGATTATCCTATAATTTAAATATTTTAAAATATTTTTAATTTGACATACAGTTATAAAGTAATAGCATTTAGCACCTTTATTATTTCTACATTTCCTGTTCATTCCTCAATCATTGCAATCTGAGTTGTATTCCTCAAAATCTTGAGTTTTATCTTAAGATGAATTCCTTCCCCATGGCTAAATCTTTCCTCAGTAAAACTGACCAGTTTGTCTTTGTATAACAGAATATACACAATTAATTTTCTCAGATTTTCTAACTCAAATGAAACCTCTTTAAATCTTATTTAAGCATGTTTTTATGCTATACTGAAACACCTTACAATAGGGCTAAATTAATTAAAATGAAAATTGCCGCTCAATTCCCAAAAATTTTCACTATGAATCTGATGTATATCCCTCCAGATACTTTCCCATGCACATACTGGCCAACATACAGAAACACAAGAAACTTTCTTTAAAAAGTATCAGCCACACTCTACAACTAATGTGTTTCACTCAACAGTATATTACATAATCCTTGCAATACATATGGACCAACCTTTTTCTTTTAATGGCTTCTTTACATTCCATAAACCACAATTTAATCAAACCCCCAACTGGTAGATTTTATGTAATTTCTGATTTTATGATATTACAAACAATACTATAATGAACATTTTTATTTATTACTAGCTGCATGATTTCTCTGCTTCCCTTCTTTCATAAAAGGAGGACTAAAATAATACAAAATTTACATAGGATTCTTGAAAGGATTAATTTTTAATGAAAAGTCCTTACAACAGTTGCCAACATATATGTGTTATTTCTGCTTATTCCTTTGAGCACTCTTTGCTTGGCTTTTATGATACAAAATTTCCCAGGTTTGGTTTTACCCCATTTTTGGATGCTCCTAATTTTTCCTTTATCTGCCTTTTAAATGTTGGTATTCTTGAGGGTCTGTATAAGGCCCCCTTCTCATTCTACATATTTTCATTCTCTTCACAAGCTTTAATTACCATCTACGCAACAGCTCCAAAGCTATACTTAAATCCAGTTATACACCTCAGAAACAATATATGGAAGAGAATTACTTCTATGAGAACTCTAGAGAACAGTTAAGAAGCTACAGCACCAGGCCATAAAACCAAAAAGGCATTCCAGTGAAAGGGGTAAGAAAATTCAGGGTATTCTGTGCACTCATCCCTGCCCTTCCCCATACCCCATATAGTTGAGGCTGAGGTGCAACCAGGAGGAAACTACAAAATACTAGCAAACTGAATTCAACAACACATTGAATTCAGTTTGCTAGTAAACTCAACCAAAAAACCATTTGGTACACCATGATCAAATGGGCTTTATACCTGGAAGGCAAGAATTATTCACCATCAATCAGTGTAATACATAGAATGAGATTAAAAAAACACATAATCATCTCAATAGTTGCAGAAAAAGCATTTGACAAAATTCAATACCCTTTCATAATAAAAACATTCAACAAACTAGGAATAGAAGGAAACTGCCTCAGTGTGACATACACAAGATATAAAATGCCCACAGCTAACATGTTACTCAAAAAACTGAAAGCTTTTTCTGTAAGATAAAGAACAAGAAGATGCCCACAGAGCGATTAGGCAAGAAAATAATAAAAGACATCTAAATTGTAAAGGAAAATGTAAAAGTATATCTCTTCACAGATGACATGATCTCGTATGTAGAAAATCCTGAAAAATCCACACAAAAACACCTATTAGAAAGAATACAGTCATGGAAATAAATATTTTGACACTTCAAACTATATTAATTTGATTGTAGTTTGCAGCGAGATAACTATTTCATTGAAGAAATCAGGAAGGATTAACATAATGTTCAGATTACCAATATTGAACATCAAAAGAATGTCAGCCAAACTGAGTAGCTGACTTCAAGTGACTTGAATTCAGGGAAACTGTGATCAGTTATGCTCTCGCTGTGGCAAATATAAATTTTTGTTGTTGTAGTGGTTGTGAAGGTGGCAGTTTCTGAAAGTGAAAAATAAAGGAAACTATCAAGAAAAAAAAAGAATACAGTCAACAAAATTTCAGGATATAAGATCAAAACAAAAATCAGTTGCATTTCTGTATACTTAAAAATCCAAAAAGGAAATTAAGAAAACAATTCCACTTACAAGAACATCAAAAGCATACTTTCAGGGGTAATTTCTATAGTTCGTGACTAAAGAAGTTTCTTTGAATGTGTAGAGAAAAGAACGTTTTAAGATACTTAGGAATAAACTTAAACAAAATGGTGAAAGACTTAAGATACTATGTTGGTGCAAATATAACTGTGGCTTTTGCTAGTAGTTTTTTTTTTTTTTTTTCTGAGCTAGCTGAGATTTTATTTTGGACCAAAAAAAAAAAAAAAGCAATTGAATTGTTTTGCAGCTGGAGGCATGGGTAAGGGGGGTCCCCAGGCAGTAAACTCCCCACCAGTGGGCTGAGGGCTAGGGCTGAGCATCAGGTGGGTCTCCTGTTCCCTGAGCTCCCCTGCACAGCAACCTCCCTCCTGGGCTCTGGGGCAGCCTCAGGAGGGGCAGGCTGGGAGGGGCTGTTGCAGCTGTTCACTTGGGCAGGACATCAGAGGACTCGGACACCAGCCTCCCATCGCGGGTCTCAATCTTCTTCACAACCACAGCCTTGGTGGAGCTGGTGCAGCTGATGGAGCTGGAGCCCATGACAGAGCCAAAGCTGGAGCCCAGGCCGTAGCTGAGGCCGGGGCTTGTGAGGCCCCCATAGGCAGAGCTCAGACCACCTGCATAGCCGCTGGTGGTCTTCGTGTGGATACTCATGTTCTGCATCCCGGACTCCAGCTGGCTCTCCTCGCCCTCCAGTAGCTTGCGGTAGGTGGCGATCTCGATGTCCAGGGCCAGTTTGACATTCATCAGCTCCTGGTACTCACGCAGCTGCTTTGCCATGTCCTGCTTGGCCCGCTGTAGGGCGGCCTCCAGCTCCTTCTGCTTGTCATGAGCATCCTTGAGTGCCTGATCCCCGCGCTGCTGAGCATCTACAATTGCGGCGTCCAGGGAAGCCCTCTGGCCTTTGAGGCCCTCGATCTCAGCCTGGAGCCGGCTGATGTTCCGGTTCATCTCGGAGATCTCAGTCTTCGTACGCCGCAGGTCATCCCCGTGCTTCCCAGCCAGCATCTGCAACTCCTCATACTTGATCTGGTATATGCTCTCCGCCTCAGCCCGGCTGCGGTTGGCGATCTCCTCGTACTGCGCCTTGACCTCGGCAATGATGCCATCCATGTCCAGAGAGCGGCTGTTGTCCATGGACAGCACCACAGACGTGTCGGAGATCTGGGACTGCAGCTCCCGGATCTCCTCTTCATACAGCTGCCTGAGGAAGTTTATCTCGTCAGTCAGTCCTTCCAGGCGAGACTCCAGCTCTACCTTGTTCATGTAAGCTTCATCCACATCCTTCTTGATGAGGACAAATTCATTCTCCATCTCTGTACGCTTATTGATCTCTTCCTCATACTTGTTCTTGAAGTCCTCCACCAGCCCCTGCATGTTGCCAAGCTCCGCCTCCAGCTTCAGCTTCTCCTGGCCCAGAGTCTCCAGCTGCCGCCTCAGGTTGTTGATGTAGTTCTCAAACATGTTGTCCATGTTGCTCCTAGCCGTTTTCTGCTGCTGCAGGAGGCTCCACTTGGTCTCCAGCATCTTGTTCTGCTGCTCCAGGAACCACACCTTGTCGATGAAGGAAGCAAACTTGTTGTTGAGGGTCTTGATCTGCTCCTTCTCCTGGGTACGCACGGCCTGGATGTTGGGGTCCACATCCACCTTAATGGGGTTCAGCAGGCTCTGGTTGATGGTGACGGCGGTGATGCCTCCCATGCCTATGCCGCTACCCCAAAATAGCCTGCACCCAGGCCACCCCGGAAGCCACTACTGCTCACTCGGGAGAAGCTCAAGCGGGCACTGGGCCCACTCATTAAGGAGCGGCTGCTGAAGGCCCCGGGGCCAGAGGTGGACACCTTGTAGGACTTATGGGTCACCCTGGTGGACATGGTGGAAGCAGGAGTGGAAGCAGGCGGGCTGAACTAGGGAGAGATTCCAAAAGGAGCGGAGAAGCTGCTTCTTCTTGCTAGTAGTTTTAATGGCAAAAACCGCAATTGCTTTTGCACCAACCTAATATGTAAGCATACACCTAACCAAGATGGTGAAAAACCTGTACAGTAAAAACTACAAAAACTATAAAACATTGCTAAAATAAACACATAAACATTCCATGTCCATGGATTGAAAGACATAATATTAAGATGTGAATACTACTCCAGGTACTCTATATAAATTCAATGCAATAGCTATCAAAATCCCAATCATGCTTTTTACAGAGATAGAAAAAAAATAAGCTACAATTTATACAGAAGCTCCAGTGACCCTGAATAGCCAAAACAATTTTGGAAAAGATCAAAATTGGGGGACTCACACTTACTGACTTCAAAATACATTACAAAGCTAATGTATTACTGTTTTTGCATTGCTATAAAGAAATACCTGAGACTGGGTAATTTATAAAGAAAAGTTTAATTGGCTCACAGTTCCATAGGCTGTACAGGAAGCATCAGCTCAGCTTCAAGTAAAGCCTCAGGAATCATACAACCATGGTGCAAAGCAAAGAGGGAGTGGGGCATTTCACATGGCAGAAGCAAGAGCAAGGGGGAGGTGGGAGGTGCCACACACTTTTAAAAGACCAGATCTCATGAGAACTCATCTATTATGGCAAGGACAGTATCAAGGGTTACGATACTAAACTATTTGTAAGAAACTGCCCCCATGATTCAATCACCTCCAACCAGGCCCCACCTCAACATTGGGATCACAACTGGACATGAGATTTGGGCACAGACACAGATCCAAACCACATCAACTACAGTAACGAAAACTATGTCATATTGGCACATAAAGGTGAGACATACAAACCAATAAAATAGGAGAGCCCAGAAATGAACTCTCAGGTAGAGGGTGACAGAATCTTCAACAAGGGTGCC